TTATTGGTGGTGGTGGAGGTTCTGGGCGTGCTGGAAGTTGGAGCTGGGGGTGGAGACCCACCCCACTCCGGCTGTAAAACAGCCGCGTTGTCGCTGCTACTGCTGCTATCACCAAGTATTGGAGGCGACCCCACGTCCCTGCTGTTCGCCAGCAGCATCATCACAGCTGAGAGGAGGCGAGGTTGTCTCTCTCGCCCTGCTCACGGAGACTGCGTCCCTGGGTCCCCACCGCGATTCTCTGGGTTCCATTTGGTCCATCGACTCCTCGTGTCGAGGCGTCTCTCTGTGTGGGAGTCTCTGCCTGTGACTGTTACACTCGTGGTCTACGTGTCTCTGTGTATATCACACACTGTGTCTATGTGTGACTGTGTTTCACTATAACCATTCTGCGATTCTTGCCACAGCAAAGTGGAGGGTCGCCTCCTGCTCTCGGGAGCGGTGGTTGAGCCCGTGACGGAAATTCCACATTGCCCTGTCGGGGGCCAGACTCTCTCCTCTGTAGGGCCACCCCCAGTCGATTCACACACACCACCACCACCCCACACACACCAACCACCACCACTCACACACCACCACCACGAACACACCAACCACCACCACTCACACACCAACCGCCATCCCACACACCACACACACCCCACACAGTAACCACACCACCAACACGCACCACCACCCCACACCACACCACCAACACACGCACATCACCCCGTCAACTCATGGCACCTGCTGGGTCTGTCCCGTGACCTGTCGGCAGCGAGCCGTCGACACTTCACGTGGCAGCCTCAAAGTGCACCTAGCCTGGCACAGGCGCCTTGGTGACGTCACCGCCACTTGCGAATGGCGGCTACTGTTGCTGGGAGGTAGTTGAGGGTGGTGGTGATGAAGGGGGTGGTTGATGGTGGTGAGGGTGGTGGTGATGATGGTGAGGGTGGTAGTGGTGATGATGGTGGGGTGGTGGTGAGGGTGGTGATGATGGTGAAGAGTGGTGATGGTGGTGAGGGTGGTGATGATGGTGAAGAGTGGTGATGGTGAAGGATGATGGTGAGGGTGGTGGTGGTAAGGGTGGTGATGAGAGTGAGGGTGATGGTGGTGAGGGTGGTGGTGATGATGGTGAAGAGTGATGATGGTGGTGATGATGGTGAGGGTGGTAGTGCTGATGGTGAGGGTGGTGATGATGGTAAAGGGTGATGATGGTAAAGGGTGATGATGGTGTGGGTGGTGATGGTGGTGAGGGTGGTAGTGGTGAGGGTGGTAGTGGTGAGGGTGGTGGTGGTAAGGGTGGTGGTGATGGTGGTGATGGTGGTGAGGGTGGTGATGGTGTTGAGGGTGGTGATGAGAGTGACGGTGGTGGTGGTGAGGGTGGTGAGGGTGGTGGTGGTGATGAGGGTGGTGGTGGTGGTGGTGAGGGTGGTGGTGATGGTGGTGATGAGGGTGAGGGTGGTGAGGGTGGTGGTGGTGATGAGGGTGGTGGTGGTGAGGGTGGTGGTGATGGTGGTGATGAGGATGGTGGTGGCGAGGGTGGTGGTGGCGAGGGTGATGATGGCGAGGGTGGTGGTGACGAGGGTGGTGGTGACGAGGGTGGTGGTGATGATGATGGTGAGGGTGGTGGTGATGATGGTGAGGGTGGTGGTGAGGGTGGTGATGATGGTGAAGAGTGGTGATGGTGGTGAGGGTGGTGATGATGGTGAAGAGTGGTGATGGTGAAGGGTGAGGGTGGTGGTGGTAAGGGTGGTGATGGTGGTGATGAGAGTGAGGGTGATGGTGGTGAGGGTGGTGGTGATGATGGTGAGGGTGGTAGTGGTGATGATGGTGAGGGTGGTGGTGAGGGTGGTGATGATGGTGAAGAGTGGTGATGGTGGTGAGGGTGGTGATGATGGTGAAGAGTGGTGATGGTGAAGGGTGATGATGGTGAGGGTGGTGGTGGTAAGGGTGGTGATGGTGGTGATGAGAGTGAGGGTGATGGTGGTGAGGGTGGTGGTGATGATGGTGAAGAGTGATGATGGTGGTGATGATGGTGAGGGTGGTAGTGCTGATGGTGAGGGTGGTGATGGTGGTGATGATGGTAAAGGGTGATGATGGTAAAGGGTGATGATGGTGTGGGTGGTGATGGTGGTGAGGGTGGTAGTGGTGAGGGTGGTAGTGGTGAGGGTGGTGGTGGTAAGGGTGGTGGTGGTGATGGTGGTGATGGTGGTGATGGTGTTGAGGGTGGTGATGAGAGTGACGGTGGTGGTGGTGAGGGTGGTGAGGGTGGTGGTGGTGATGAGGGTGGTGGTGGTGAGGGTGGTGGTGGCGAGGGTGATGATGGCGAGGGTGATGGTGGCGAGGGTGGTGGTGACGAGGGTGGTGGTGACGAGGGTGGTGGTGATGATGATGGTGAGGGTGGTGGTGATGATGGTGAGGGTGGTGGTGATGATGGTGAGGGTGGTAGTGAGGGTGGTGGTGATGATGGTGGTGATGAGGGTGGTGATGATGGTGAGGGTGGTGGTGATGATGGTGAGGGTGGTGGTGATGATGGTGAGGGTGGTGGTGATGGTGGAGAGTGATGATGGTGGTGATGGTGGTGAGGGTGGTGATGATGGTGAAGAGTGATGATGGTGGTGATGATGGTGAGGGTGGTAGTGCTGATGGTGAGGGTGGTGATGGTGAAGGGTGATGATGGTGAGGGTGGTAGTGCTGATGGTGAGGGTGGTGATGGTGGTGAGGGTGGTGATGGTGGTGAGGGTGGTGATGGTGAAGGGTGATGATGGTGAGGGTGGTGATGATGGTGGTGGTGAGGAAGCCGAGGCGAGCTCACAGAAGAGACTGCCTCACGCTTAATGCCTTAAAAGATGGCGGCCGTGTAGCCGGGCGCGTACATTCTCATTGTGTGTGTGTGGGGTTATTATTGACGAAACGTTTCGCCTGATTGCACCAACTCCTACACTACAGAGTATTCACATCGGTACAGCAATCGCAACACAAACACGCGTAAGTCCACTGCCAACGCCATCACAAGTTGTATTTTTAAGCTGTGTAGGTCACAGCGCAGCCCACACGAGAATGCCCCCCACCCTCCGCGTGTTCGACCGCCCCAGTGCAGCAACAACGACAACAACGCCGCTGGGCGGCTCTGCCCGGGGGACTTCTGAAGGAAGGCGGTACCACGCTTCTCTCGAACTGTTGACGTCTGCGCTGCTAATAATGCTCTCGCGGAGTGTTGGAGGCGACCCAGCAGCATCAGCAGCATCACAGCTGAGAGGAGGTGAGGTTGTCTTTCTGTGTGAGAGTCTCTCTCTGCCTGTGACTGTTACACTCGTGGTCTACGTGTCTCTGTGTGTCTATCACTCTGTGTGTGTCTCTGTGTGTGTCTATCACTCTGTGTGTCTCTGTGTGTGTCTATCACTCTGTGTGTGTCTCTGTGTGTCTATCACTGTGTGTGTGTCTGTGTCTATTACTCTGTGTGTCTCTGTGTGTCTATCACTGTGTGTGTGTCTGTGTGTCTATCACTCTGTGTGTCTGTGTGTCTATCACTCTGTGTGTGTCTGTGTGTCTATCACTCTGTGTGTCTATGTGTGACTGTGTGTCTGTGTGTCTATCACACTGTGTGTCTATGTATGACTGTGTGTCTGTGTGTCTATCACTCGCTAACAGCACGTGCCCCTAAAGTCTGTTAAGGCTATACGGGGGATCTTTGTCTTTGTCTATCACTCTGTGTCTATGTGTGTGTGTCTCTGTGTCTATCACTCTGTGTCTATCACTCTGTGTGTGTCTATGTGTCTATCACACTGTGTCTATGTGTGTATGTGTGTCTATCACTGTGTGTCTATGTGTTTGTGCCTATCGTTGTGTCTATGTGGGCTTGTGTATGTGTGGCTATCCCTCTGTCACTTTGTGTCGCGATGACGCTCCTCGAATTTAAACCAAACATTGCCAAAGCAATTGAACGGCTACAGCAAAGAGAGCGCGAGGCGTGACTGAGTGAGATGTTTCGTGAAGAGCCATAGCGAATTTAAACATCCGCGGAAGTCCGCGCGCTATTCTCGCCACAGCAAAGTGGAGGGTCGCCTCCTGCTCTCGGGAGCGGTGGTTGAGCCCGTGACGAAAACTCCACATTGCCCTGTCGGGGGCCAGACTCTCTTCTCTGTAGGGCCACCCCCAGTCGATTCGAACAGAGTGGTACTCAATCTTGATTTTAAGCTTTCGTGAATGCAGGAATCAATACTCTTTGGTTCTTTCGGTAACGTCACGTAGGTAGAAAATTAAAATAAATCACCACCGCCTCAGAAGCAGACCATGCTTTCCCACCTGAGGTTGGACGCTTGGCGTGTGATGCTGGATGTAATTACTAGCGAAAGGTCGAACTCAAACATTGTAAATGTTGTGGATTCACTCAACACACCGGTGGGCTAAAGTAGTGAACTATTTGTCTTTTGTCAACGTGACTCTTTTTGCTGATTGGCCGTGTCGGGTGGTGGAGGGTTACGACACATTTATAAATTACGCGATCTAAACCCAAACACGTTGATTATGAAACGATCAAAGATGAATAATATTGACGTGTTTAAGCAAACAGTCTACCGCCGGACTATGCAACTCGTTTGAAGGCCAATGTAGACAAATTATCTTCGATAATTTTCGAATATTATTATCGAGGCATCACCCCCCCCCCCGTTTCCTATGCGTACATTGTCAGTAGACCCCCCCCCCCATACGCACGCGGTACACATTTGGGTTAACCCCCCCCCCCCTCCATGCGTACGGACACACACCACCACCACACACACACCACCACCATACACACACCGCCACCATAAACACACCACCACCACAACACACAGCAACCACCACCACCAACACACACACACCACCACACACACCACCACCCCACACACCACCCCACACGCACACCACCACGTCAACCCATGGCACCTGCTGGGTCTCCTGTGACCTGTCAGCAGCGAGCCGTCGACACTTAACGTGGCAGCCTCAAAGTGCACCTAGCCTGGCACAGGCGCCTTGGTGACGTCACCGCTACTTGCGAATGGCGGCTGCTGTTGCTGGGAGGTAGTTGAGGGTGGTGAGAGTGAGTGTGGTGAGGGTGGTGGTGATTGTACCAACTTCTACACTGCAGAGTATTCACACCGCTAAAGCACTCACTCTCAACGCAATCACAAGCTGCATTTTAAAGGTCTGAATTTTGAAAGTCACAATTTCACGGTGCAGCCCACACGAGAATGCCCCCCGGTATGAAAGCGCTTTGGCTCGCCGAGTGTTACGCGGTGGGAGCGGCAGCGGCAGGCGACTGATTATTGTACACTTCGAGAGTGAGGCGGGGTAATGTCGCCTCCAGGCAGCTACGGCATTGCCTACACATTCAGTGACCGGTCAGTCGCCCAGTCGCGCTGCTGCTGCTGCTATCGCTGGGTATTGGAGGCGACCCCACGTCCCTCCTGCGTCTCTCCAGCAGCAGCATCATCACAGCTGAGAGGAGGAGGTGAGGTTGTCTCTCTCGCCCTGCTCACGGAGACTGCGTCCCTGGGTCCCCACCGCGATTCTCGGGGTTCCATTTGGTTCATCGACTCCTCGTGTCGAGGCGTCTCTCTGTGTGAGAGTCTCTGCCTGTGACGGTTACACTCGTGGTCTACGTGTCTCTGTGTCTATCACTCTGTGTGTCTGTGTGTGTATCACTGTGTGTCTATGTGTGACTGTGTCTGTGTATGACTGTGTGTCTATCACTATAAACATTCTGCGATTCTCGCCACAGCAAAGTGGAGGGTCGCCTCCTGCTCTCGGGAGCGGTGGTTGAGCCCGTGACGGAAACTCCACATTGCCCTGTCGGGGGCCAGACTCTCTCCTCTGTAGGGCCACCCCCAGTCGATTCGAACAAAGTGGTACCCAATTTATCCGCCACGACTGGGATCTGTGCCACTTCGGGCTGGGAGGCTGCGTCCGGGTGGAACTTCCGCGGGTTTCTCAATGCGCTGGTGAATTCACTCGCAGCCAGTTGGCTGTGTGGGTGATGTTGTTGTCTGTGGGGAGCGGTGGTGCAGCGGTTAGCGCGCTGCGCTACGAACCCAGTGTCCCGAGTTCGATTCCCGCTCACGGTCAACACCAGTGACGATCATCTGACCCGGACCTGGGCTTCTCCTAGGTCGACTCGGCCTCAAATGAATACCTGGTGCGTTGTGTAAACATCGCCACTGGGGAGACAAAGGCGGCCGAGCGTGGTGTTGGCCACCCACCCACTCGTGTACCGTTCTGGCCTTCATAGGTGCTCCTCGCTAACAGCACTTGCCTCTACAGTCTGTTCAGGCTACACGGGGCATCTTTGTCTTCATCTCTGTGGAGTCGTTCACTGCAAAGGCAGTCGACTCCGCCTCTTAACGCCACCAGTCATCAGTGACGTCACGAGTTCCTCATTCTGCTTCTTCCCTCCCACTGGAGAGAAGTCACTTAAGGACATGGTGGGAAATCCCCCCCTGCCTACTCAGCATCGGGGTTACCAGAGTTGAGCAGCGTCGACCGCCTTGGCAGTGAATTGCAACCATCACACACACACACCACCACCCCATACACACCACCACCACTCACACACACCACCACCCCACACACACCACCACCCCACCACACATACACACCACCACCACCCCACACACACCACCCCACCACACACACCACCACCCCACACACACCACCCCACCACACATACACACACACCACCACACAGTAACCACCACCACAAAGCAACCACCACCAAACACCACCACCCCACACGCACACCACCGCCCCGTTACCCCATGGCACCTGCTGGGTCTGTCCCGTGACCTGCCAGCAGCGAGCCTTTGACACTTCACGTGGTAGCCTGAAAGTGCACCTAGCCTGGCACAGGCGCCTTGGTGACGTCATCGCCACTTGCGAATGGCGGCTGCTGTTGCTTGGAGGTAGTTGAGAGTGGTGAGGGTGGTGAGGGTGATGAGAGTGAGGGTGATGAGGGTGGTGGTGAGGATTGTACCAACTCCGACACTACAGAGTATTCACACCGGTACAGCACTCACAACACAAACACGAGTAAGTCCACTGCCAACGCCATCACAAGTTGTATCTAGACGCTGTCCAGGTCACAGCGCAGCCCACACGAGAATGTCCCCCCCCCCCCTTGAGCGTGTTCGAGCGTCCGAGTGTCACGCGGCGACAGCAGCAGCAGCAGGCGACTCTGATTGGACACTTGGAAAGTGGAGGCACCCCCCGCCCCTCCCCCGCCCCCGTGCCAAAGCTGCCACCGCTAGCCCAGTGACGTCACGCCTCTTTAAAGTTTTCGAAAAAGTCGCGTCTTGGTTGCTGCTGCTGCTATCGCCGGGTATTGGAGGCGACCACACGTCCCTCCTGCTCCTGCTGCTCCTCTACCACCACCAGCAGCACCACCAGCATCACCACAGCTGAGAGGAGGAGGCGAGGTTGTCTCTCGCCCTGCTCACGGAGACTGCGTCCCTGGGTCCCCACCGCAATTCTCGGGGTTCCATTTGGTCAATCGACTCCTCGTGTCTTTACCTTTGTGAGTGTGTGACGTTTTCTCTGTGTGTCTGGTGTGAGTCAGTGGCTGTTTGTCCCACCGTGTCTACCTGTGCGTCTACCTGTGTGTGTATCACTCTGCCATTGGGTGCCGATTGACGTGATTCCGACCATTGCCTCGTGTACGTCGGCAGGAGGTCTAAATGCAGAGCGCGCCGCGTTATTACAAAAACGGCATAGCGCAAAAGCGCCTCGACCGACGATTGTCTGCAATGGCAAAGGAGCCACCATCGCCCCCCCCACCACCACGACCCTCCTCCGGCTCCCCGGTTCCCCAGTCGGTTATTTTGTCCCGGAGTTTGGTGCGTTTGTAGCGTCGGAATTACATCGCACACACCGCCGTGTAGACTTACCTGTAGTTGCAGGCACGGGTCGATAGGGGGGTGCCACCCTGAGCTAGAAGACTGGCGAGGCTGGGACCCTGGGACCCGACGTCGTTTTAAGGGCCAAGCGTGGACCAGTGGTCGAGACCCGCACCTTGGCTGTGTCAGGTCAGGTAGCCTCCCCTAGGGTAATCGTAGTCGGAGGACCTGAGAGCGTAGCCAGAGTCAGGCACGTTAGGAGTGGGCTGTGTCCCACGGGTTGGTATCGTAATGAAGAAGTTACCTCTACAAGTGTCTCCGGAACCCATTACACCTCTAAAGACTACAGCTCCGTGGAACCCACTACACATGCATTAATCCCCCCCCCCCCCCTGCGTGCAATAAGTGCTCACAAGTGACACCATCACGTCTACCGTTCTAAGTAACAAAACAGGATTTCTGCACAACTCTGGCTGTCGCCTGATGAAGCTGGTTGTAATTACTGGAGAAACGTCGTAATCAGATGTAAATGTTGTGGCTTTGCTCTCCAACACACCGGTGTGCTGCTCTAGTAATGAATTGGCCACGTTCTGTTTACGTGACAAGCCTTACTAATTGGCTGTCGCGTGATGGCGGGTTTAACGACAGATTTATACTGGTACGAACGAAGTGGACCAGCCTACAATAGATTATATCGTCCGTCCGTCCGATGTCCGATTACGTGTAGCAACATCGCCCCCTACTAAAAACACTTGGCATGACCCTACAAAAACATTTAGACTCTGTGAGGCTTTCCTGGATAAACAAGTGTAACATTCCCTTATAATTCCCTCAGATAGCTTTTAATTTAAACATTTAAATTAATGAGGCTTTCCTGGCTAAACACGTGTAACATTCCCTTATAATTCCCTGAGATAGCTTTGAATTAAAACTTCGAAATTAAATAAAAAAACTCACAGCGCCCTAAAGCCTACAGCTAGGCCTAAAGCCTAGAACTAGGCCTCAAAGTCTCCCTTCGTATCGTACCCCCGCGTGTGTGAAAGGGAGTTAATGTTTAACAATGTTACATTCCCTGATGTTTTAAAATAGAAACATTTACATTTAAAGCTTTTACATTAATTATTAAAACATTTAAATTAAAAATTAAGTCACAGCGCCCTAAAGCCTACAGCTAGGCCTAAAGCCTAGAACTAGGCCTCAAAATCTCCCTTCGGATCGTCCGATTAGGTGTAGCAACATCGCCCCCTACTGCAAACACTTGGCAGGACCCTACAAAAACCTTTAGACTCAGTGGGGCTTTCCTGGCTAAACAAGTGTAATAATACATTATGTTTATATTCTTTGGTTATTCGTTCCTACCAGCCCACCCCGCAGGGTCCTGTTATTCACGCACTCTAACCCAAAAAAACCTGTATTATGGATGGTATTGGTCGCGAAAACCTACAACGTGTTAAGCTCGCTACACCACCGCTCATAATCACAACACTGCCTGCTCCAGTCTATGTTATTAAAGTTGGGATCACTAAATTCAAAATATGAATCTCATCACCGACATTACACATTAAAAGATGTAGAAGCGGAGTTATGTGAAAGTGAGGGAGCGTGAACCATTGGAGTGAGGACGTGAGATGGACTAATGACTCATTCTCCTTTGTGATCATCAGCAGACAGAGCCAACCATGAAGCTGGTCCTCATCCCAGTGTTCATCTCCCTTCTGGGTGAGTTCACACCCAGAGCCACTCACCCAGCACACATTGGACGGTGCCCTTTCATTAGCCAGGTGAGAGTTCACTGTTACCTCCCTCGCCGGGAATGGAGGAGGTTGTGGGTTCGATTCTGACCCTGACGCCTTTTGTATACTTGGAGTTTGCGTGTCTCTCTCACTGTGGTCACGTGGATTTGTCTCCGGGTCTTCCGGTTTTTTCCTCCACATTTATAATCAACGCGCATTTCGATTATTTGTTGCTGTAAATTTCAGCACGACAAGCCACTTCGTTGAACTGTCATTTGTGGCCAGGTCACTTACCTGCTAATTAGAATAGTTTTTTAGTTTTTAAATAAACCGCCGTGACGATGAGGTCACGGTGATGTGACCCCTGTGACACCGCCCTGGCCGTGCCAGTGGCTCCCGGGCCGCGCGCTCCGCCGAGTCTGGTTACTGACGGTGGGGGAGGCAGCCCTAAGATTTGGTCGAGGGGGAGACGTTTCACTGCGCTCACTCACCAGGTGAGCGGCCTTCCTCTCCGACAGCTGATGCTATGTGGAGCTTACCGTGTCGTAGCTTCCATTGAGGTCGTAGTTTTATGTATCTATTCTTCACAATTTCAAATGTAGATGGTGTAGCACCTCTGTGTTTAACGGCATTTTCAAGATCTCTCTGTGGCCGTTACCACTGGACGAACCTTTGCAGAGTGGCGTAACGAGTGTAAGCGATGTCTCTGTAGATAAAACGACATTTGAGTAATCGGAATAACTTTTCCCTTGACTGCAATTTAATACCAATAATGATAGATGTGTTTCGGACATTCATTCCAAATCTACTCCTAACCTAAAAAAATGCATCACGTATATCCCAAAAATAATACCAAAGAACATACATATTAAACACGTTTGATTAATAATTAATTAAATCGTTAATAATCAACCCTTTGTGAAGGTGATGTGTAGGCGTTGCTGTTGTGCACTGTGGAGGTAGCGTGACGCTGTCGCCGATGGGTGATGCAGCCTCCTGTGCACTTCTTGTTTGACGATGTCATGGTGCATGCTGCAGTGAAATTTTGTTCACGTGGAAATTAGATTTTCTAAATCGAAACGAGTTGATTATTTGTCAATTTCGTTTAAGGAGAAATTTCGTAAAGGGAACCATACAAATAACCCAACTGGCAATGGATACCCATTGTCATTTATATACATTCATTAATTCCCCCCCACTTCACGCAAAAAGTTTCTCACAAGTGTTGTCATCACATCTACCCCTCTATTAAAGGAAGGAAACAGGAGGATATCTCCACAAATCTGGCTGTCACCTGATAATGCCGGTTGTAATTACTGGTGAAACTTCGTACTCCGATTGTAAATGTTGTCCCTTTGCTCTCGATCACACCGGTTAGTGCTGTACTAGTGACGAATTGGCACGTTCTGTTTACGTGACAAACCTTACTAATTGGCTGTGTCGGGTGGTGGCGGGTTTAACGACACATTTATATATTTATGCGATCTAACCCCAAAAAAATGCCTGTATTATAAACTGAGGGATACTCCTGTATCTGTAACGAGTGTGACCGGTCTCCCTGTAGATACGGCATTGGCTGCGATGCTCCAGATCACTCTTCCGCAGAGTCTGTCTGTGAGGGAGGGAGAGAACGTGACTCTTCCCTGCTCCTTCTCCCCACCGGCAACCCACCTGGACCATATCATCATCCAGTGGTTCTGGATGCCCAGACGCTACGCAGAGAACATGACGAGAAGAGAGATGAAGAAGGTGACGGCCGCATTTCATGTCAACCGTGAATAATTGTCTCTGTACTTGATGTCTACGTCAACACGTAACAGATAATAACAAAATTATGTGGCGCCCTTTAATTACCCAGAAATGTCCCAATTAGTCTCACAACTCCATTTCAGGAAGGTACTGCTCTAGATCTTTGCCCAATGAGAATTCAAGTTTCATTTATTTCATTTAGTGTTTTTGGTATAGCCCTGTGAGCCATACGGCTCTTAAGTTGGGTGCAACCGCAACAAACAAAATATGAACAGAGAACATCCCAAGGCGACAACGTGCAACAGACAAACCAGCAAATCTTCCAAAAAACCAACAACAACACTACAACGCTCTGTGCAAAAATCCCAGCGCGACACAAGTCAAACAACAACAACCGCAAGACAATTTAGACCAACCATACGTTCTCGAAATCACCCAAATAAAGCCATAAAAACAAATGTAACAACAGTAATCATAGGAACTGCGATTCAAATTCAACAACAAACGATATACCCAGCAAGCGTACGATGTGTGAGTGAGTCAGTGCACGATGTGTGAGCGAGTCATTGCAAGATGAGTGAGTGCATCACGGCCTCCTCCACACCATCACGGCCTCGCTCCCTCGGCTCCCTTGGCTCCCTCAGCTCATGCCTCACCCACTGCAACCGACCCTGCCAGCAGCCATCTTATCTGGCTTCATGTGGAGGGAAACCAGAGTACCTGATGAAACTCGTGTTTAATACGAGGGGGATTACACGCAATACTCTACACAGATTCAAGTCCACAGGTAGACCCACTCTCAACACTCTACGCAAACTCAACATTGATATTTTGCCATCCCCTTGTCGCGTTGCAGCCGAAGCCTACAACGCTTGGTATTCCCAGTAGGTCTCCCATCTAGGTGGTAACCGAGCTCAAGTCTGCTGAGCTAGCGACATGCAACGAGCCCAGGGGCATTCAGGACGATTTTACCGTGGGCATCGTGTGCCATTGTGGTTGACCTTCCATATTGTGGTTTGTGTCATTGCAGATTTATCAAACGAGGGATGAGAAAAAGGACTTCAGTATCGTTAGGTCTGTGGGAGACGTGCTGACGGGAGACTGCTCCATCGGCATCCCCAACATCTCCAGTAGCCTCGGCCCCGTGGCTCTGTGCCGCATCGACTGTCGCCGATGCAACGCGGAGAACAACGAGGTGCAAGGGGAGGTGCTGCTGGACGTGATGCCTGCAGGTGAACAAGAGCTGAGCGTGGTGCTGTAGCTGATACAGCCATCATTGTCGCTATAAAACTCTTCACCACTCGATAACAATTAAACTTTGGCAAAATGATTATATCAGTCTCACATCGTATTAGCTTGTCCACATTGATTATGTTGGTGATTTGCTTTGCTTTACTTTTCGCACGCATAAAGACGAGGACTACTCAAGCGTTCTCGACCACTCATCATGCGCCTGCCACGAGTCCTCTAACGCTGATGCGCGATTTCAGTTATGCAGTGAATAATGCACGGAATATGAGGGTGTCGTTTAATGTATACGCCTTAACAATTGGCAAAGCGCTCATTTAATGGATAATGCACGTTTGTTTTACAACTTTCTTGATTTAGTTTCTTGTTTTATAATTTGTCAGATAATAAAATATATAAGAAAATAAAATGAGCACCGTTCGTCACGACGTTGTTCAAAACGGATGAAGCGATTATGGGGGAACTTGCGTTGCACGGTGCACGAGATTTAACTCCTTGAGGCCGGGAGGTCAAGGGTCATGGAAAAACTGGGGTACAGGGCTGGAGTGGGCATTTGTACAGAGCTGAGTGATTCTCAGCCAGGAATCTGTGATGCACGTGGATCAGGTCTTGAGTGTGGCACGTGAAGCCGTGTTGAGTGAGTGTCTCTCCCTGCTGCACGTGAAGCCGTGTTGAGTGAGTGGTCTCTCCCTGCTGCACGTGAAGCCGTGTTGAGTGAGTGGTCTCTCCCTGCTGCACGTGAAGCCGTGTTGAGTGAGTGGTCTCTCCCTGCTGCACGTGAAGCCGTGTTGAGTGAGTGGTCTCTCCCTGCTGCACGTGAAGCCGTGTTGAGTGAGTGGTCTCTCCCTGCTGCACGTGAAGCCAAGTTGAGTGAGTGGTCTCTCCCTGCTGCAGGTGAAGCAGTGTTGAGTGAGTGGTCTCTCCCTGCTGCAGGTGAAGCCATGTTGAGTGAGTGGTCTCTCCCTGCTGCACGTGAAGCCGTGTTGAGTGAGTGGTCTCTCCCTGCTGCACGTGAAGCCGTGTTGAGTGAGTGTCTCTCCTTGCTGCACGTGAAGCCGTGTTGAGTGAGTGGTCTCTCCCTGCTGCACGTGAAGCCGTGTTGAGTGAGTGGTCTCTCCCTGCTGCACGTGAAGCCGTGTTGAGTGAGTGGTCTCTCCCTGCTGCACGTGAAGCCGTGCTGAGTGAGTGGTCTCTCCCTGCTGCACATGAAGCCGTGTTGAGTGAGTGTCTCTCCCTGCTGCACGTGAAGCAGTATTCAGTCGCTGGGTGGGGCGGTGGTGCTGGGTGCGAGTGGGGGTCACGCTGAGCTCCCCCGCCCCCTCCCCTCTGTCTCCGTGTCTCTGCAGCCCCACAGTCAGACGGTGGGGGCGTGAGTGACGCTACCCTCGCCCCTCGAGAGGAGACCTCACTCAATGGAGTGTTGGTGGCTGCCTACGTCCTGGTTGCCGTCCTCTTCGCCATCTCCGTCATCATCTTCGTCTTCATCTGGATGAAATGCCGTCGGTCTTCAGGGCTCTGCCCCCCCTCACGCAGGTGCCCCCCCCCCCTCCAGCCCAGGCACCCGGACCGCCCAGCCCAGCCTCTGGTGAATGAGCGTGGACGTGGGCAGACGGGCTGAGCTCTCTCGGTGGCCTCCCACTCGGTGTCACTGACGAGGTTTCACGTTCACGCACCGCCGGGTCTGGGTCTCTTCCTGAGTGGTTCATAGCGGCCGTGCCGGGGACGCTGAGCCAACACCGAGCTCCTGGGTTCAGCCCCTTGGTCTTGCCGACTCGAACCGATATGAAAGAGTGAGCGCCATTGAGGCCCTCTGCTCGTTCCCGGCGAGATACGTCCACGCGTTGCTGTGTGCAGGCACCGCGTGGTTGGTAAACCTGCTGTTTGTTTTTATTTCCACAGTGGCGGTGGGAATGCAGACGTGCCTGGGGACGTGCGTGGGGACGTGAACGGGCAGCTGCTGATGAACGGACACGAAGAGAAAAAACAAAATGTATTGGAGATCGTGGCCGCTTGATAATGTTCAGGGCAGCTCTCTGCCCCACGTGGAGCGGGTCGCACACACACACACACAGGGCGCTAGTTCGGTACAAACTGCCCGTGTGCCACGGGTTCCACGTTTTGTTTGAAACCTTAGACCATCATGCCTTTGCCACCTCTTGCCTTGACAACCATAACTCTCGACCGGATATCTCTCGTGTGTCTCCAACTCCATCACCTCTTTATCCTGGAATTCTCAGTGTCCGTGAACGAAACCACATGACCCCAATCCTGAAATTGCTTCATCAGGTCCCGAATCTGTTTGAGGTGAACTTGATAGTGGGCACCACCGTGGCGAGATGTTAACTACCTCGCCTGCTATACAGGAGATCGTGGGTTCGTGTGATGGTGAACGCGTGGTGGTGAACGCGTGATGGTGAACACACGAGCGCTGTGCGTGAGACCCAGAGTGAACGTGTGATGGTAAATGTGCCGTCAAACCCGCCACCACCTAACACAGCCAGTTAGTAAGGTTGGTGGCGGCTTTAACGACTCATTTATACGTCTACGTGAGCTAACCCAAATACACAGTGTTATGGATGACATTGGTCACGATGGCCAACGTGTTAAACGGAGCCTGAGACTCTACCCCTATCTCGTGAGATATCTCTCTCACCTGGCTCAACAAATCAATTCTTAATTTATTAAAATCGTAATTACCATTCGTGATAATGGAAGAATCGCGAGGGGGGTGGGTGGGGTCTGATTGACTGACACCCGTGCGTCGCTCTCATTGGCTGAGCAGCTTGTGGGCGGCAACGTTAAGCGCTTTGTAGTTTTTTAGATTTTTTTTTCCCCAGTAAACATTTTCTCTCCAGGCATCCTACCGGTGGGTCGCGCTCAGTGAGGTCAGCCTGTGGTGTGGATTTGTTGAGAGCAGGGCCGGATTAATGTTCTTGTTCGGCCCTCGGCACTTGAGTTTCGTCGGCACTTTAAGCGATAACTCTCTACAGATGCTGCTGCCCCATGTGACGACCACCGCTGACACTCCACTCGCTTCACGCGTTGCTACTTCGTCCAGCCGCTGGACAGATGTCGTTAGTGCTGGCAGGTTCACGATTTAGTTTGTGCCCTCATTCGATAGGAGGGTGCGGCTGTGTGCCGCAGATAAACGGATTTAATTTTATATATAAGCAAACGTTTCTTTAACATTTTTTATTGCGATTACATCGGATGACGCAGATTCAAAAAGATGCCGTTCATGGTCATCGATAACAAAAAACACACACGGGTCAATTTTACATTCGTAGAACCTCTGTACATTGCCTACTGTGGCCTATTGGATAATACGGCCCTGGTGAGTGGGTGGGTGTGTGAGTGGGTGGTTGAGTGGCTGGGTGAGTGGCATAGGGACCTCGCAGACATGACGGAACGTCTGACATGAAATACTCTGCTCGGTGATATGATATACAGGGTGTTTCAAAGAGATGGACCCGATTTGAAATCTTTCAAATCGGGTCAATCTTTTGAAACATCCTGTATATTTTTTTCCTCCTGATGACGATCGCTTGTGTTGTGATCGAAACGTCGTAGTTTTTACTTTATTTTCTTTCATTTTTTCTATCTACGTGACTTTACCGAAAGATCCAAAGAATAGGATACGAAATAAAGTTAAAGATTCGTACACTGGTCTTAGAAAAGTCAGGGTCATGTTTTACACATCTAATGTTTTGCCTTTTTGTATCGATTCTTTGTGTTCATGTTGTTTGTTGTGAGTCGATGTCGTGCCCCCCGACTGGACATCTGACAGCTGATCGCAGCTCGTTGGGTTCCTCCTGTCTAAAGTATTAAGAATGTGACATTTACCGTGGTAAAGATGTGTTTAGAGTCGTTCTTTGTGTTGCAAGACTCACATTGTACTTGAGTGGATTCTGGAAATAAAAATAAAAACTCGTTGCGTTCTCTGTCCAAGGGCTCAGCTTTCCTTAGCCCACCTCGTCACCCCCCACTCGCCCTCCACACCTCATCACTCCCCACTCGCCCCCCTCACCTCGTCACCCCCCACTCTCCCTCCTCACCTCGTCACCCCCCACTCGCCCTCCTCACCTCATCACTCCCCACTTCCCGTCGTCGCCTTCCTCCCCAGCGGCGCTGCACCAGGTGACGCCACCACCGCCTGGGACGGCGCGGTCACTGCCACGAGGAGCCGTGCGCTGTGGGGCGAGCCCCATGCAGCTGCTGCTGCCCCTTGGAGTCGCCTCCTCCTCTCTCTGTCTCCTCCTCTCTCTGTCTCCTCCTCTCTCTCTCTCTGTCTCTCTCTTTCTTTGTCTCTCGCTTTGTCTCTCTCTGTGCCTCTCTCTGTGTCTCTGTCTCTCTCTGTCTGTCTCTCTCTCTCTGTCTCTCTCTCTGTGCTCTGCCAGGCGGTTGCAGTGTACGAGAGAGAGAGGGTCTCCTCCGCCAGGGTCAACTGGGCCAAGTGCGAGGCCCCCGCTGTGTTTGGGGTCGCGAGGTGACGTTTGCTCTGTGCTCCCAGGAGTCAGTTGGCAGGACGACGGAGTCAAGTACCTGGGGATTTACCTAAGAAACCACGCGACGTCGCTCTGTACAATTGGGTCGAGCTGGCCAAACTACGATCGAGGCTAAATTACTGACATGGGCACACCTCGCTCCGCAGATGTCCTTCAGGGGCCGAGTGCTCGTCGCTAACACCCTGGCAGCATCCGTGCTGTGGCACAAGACCGAGGCCCTCCAGCCTCCTGCTTGGCTACTCACCAGAGTCAACCGCTCACTCGCACATTTCGTCTGGCATGGGAAGCACCGGCTCAGGCCGGGTGTTCTCTGCCTGCCGGTGGGCGAGGGCGGCCAGGGTCTGGTGGACGTCGCCACCAGGGTCATGAGTTTCAGGCTCATGGCAATCAGGCGGCTGCTGTACGACCGGGAGGAGCTACCCTGGAAGTCGCTGGCCCTCGCCCTGCTGAGGATTGCAGGGGTGTGCCTGGGGTACGGAAAGGAGCTCTTCCTGATGGACCTGAGCCTGGTCGACTACACGAGGCTGCCAGGTTATCACCAGAGCCTCTTGGACGCGTGGCGGAGCTTCGAGTGGACCAGAACGCGCGTGGTGCCCTATGACCTCGTGCAGTTCCTGAACGAGCCCTTGTTCTGCAACGGCCTTTTCCAGGGAATCAGAGGAGAGAGTACCCTAGCTCTACACCTCACATCAGCAGGGCTGCTGACAGTCTTCCACCTCGTGCAGACCCACCAGCCAAAGTGAGATCGCCAGCACGGTGGGACTCCGCTCCGTGCTCGCTGGGGAGAAGCTGCTGCGGGACGTCGCTCCGCGCCATGAAGGAGCTGTGCCTGAAGCTGGAGGCGCCGGGGGATGGTGGCGGCCCCCCCTCCTCCTCCCGGAGTTGTACTTCTCCTGTGCACAGCTCCCTGGCCACAGCGACTCCGGCAAGCTCCTGAAGTTCCGAGGCTGTAGGAATGTGCCCCTGAAGAGTGCCCTGAACACAGCGCTCTACACGTGCTGTGTCAAGGCGATGCATTCCCGGGACCTGGCCGACCTACCGGACACAAAACGGAGAGACCATTTCTCTCCCCTCATTGCGGCCGCCCCCCAGCGGAAACAAATGTACAAGCCTCCCGTAGCCAAACGCTGCGGTGACCTCCAGTGGAGGTTGGCACACTCCATGTTGCCATTGGCCGTGTGGCTCAGTCGAATCTCGCCAGGGGTAACAGACTTGTGCATTTCCCGCGGTGCCAGGGAGGATCTACCCCACCAGTACTTATGCTGCCAGTGGCTCAAACCAATGTTCCGCCTTTTGGGGGACATCTTCAGGAAGCTGGGGGTGCCCTTCTACAACAGCAGCTTCTTATATGGGGTGGTGCCTTACCTGGCTAACAAGCGCCATGACCTCGCTAACTTCGCCTGTGCTCAGCATCTAAAACTATGCTGGAAGGTGACACTGACGGCTGCTCTGTGCTTCCAGTGTTCAGGGGCCTGCTCAAGGCGCGGCTCCGGCTGGAGCACGCCATGTACCACACACATGTCGGTGATGTGCACGTCTTCTTCGAACGCTGGGGAGCCGGACAAGCCCCCCTCTGTGTACCAGCTGGGACGGCACCCTCGTGTTCACCTTCTGAAGCGCTCGCTCGTCACCGTGGCGTGCGCGATGACCACCACCACCACCACGTGACTTTTATTTCGTGTTGTGCGCACTGCATTTAGCGCCACAGCGCGTGGATGTACAGAGTTTGTTTATTTGTTTGCCGGTGACTTTGTGTGTTTCATATCGGAATCGCCTCCAGTGCTGTTGCTGCTTGCAGCAATAAAAGTTGTTTAAAAGTCAAAGTCTGTCTCTCTCTCTGTCCCTCTCTCTCTGTTCTTCTTGACCTCTGGGCGGAACTCATCCCTCCTAGCCACCCACAGCCAGGTGGAAATTCCACATTCCTAGTCCCTTTAAAGGAGACAACTCCCGACTGCACAAACCGTTCATAACTCGATCATTATATGCGCTTGAAGGTGTTGCTGTGTGTGCGTGTAATCCGGTGAGTGCATTGCGCAATGAACCTGGCCCCTAGGTAGACTCAGCCTCAAACGAGCACCTGGTGCGATGTGTAAACGTCGCCACTGGGGAGACAAAGGCGGCCGGGCGTGCTGCTGGCTACGGGACTGCGAGGCTCTGGATCTCGATGCAAGTTCATGGTGCTCGGTGAGAGCCCTCGAGGCCGCCGCTTTGTCGCCGGCGAGACGACAGCGCCCCCCGGTGGTGGGAGACGGCGAGACGACAGCCCCGCAGAGACACGCCGGGAGACGAGCACAGCGCGCCTCTGTGCGAGCCTCTGGGTCTATGCGGCTGTGATGCCACAGCAGCGGAGCCGCTCTGCCGACGCCCCACCTGCGATCCCACCACCACCAAGCAGCCTGGCCGACACTGCTCTTCCCTCACCGCCCCCCCACATGAACACACGTGTCACACACCCCCACATGGAGCCTCGCGCGGAGCCCTCCTCGTGATTTGTACGCGCGCGGGAAACCGCGGAGATGTTCACGCGTTGGGCCGCCATTTTGTACGCGCGTTGGGCCGCCATTTTGTACGCGCGTTGGGCCGCCATTTTGTACGCGCGTTGGGCCGCCATTTTGTACGCGCGCGGGAAACCGTGGGGACGCGGGTCGTGCATGCGCCCGCCATTTTGTACATACACGGGTGGCCTCGGAAATGTGGGGGTTGTATTTGTGAACTATTTCTGGGCAAGAACAGGCATTTTTAAAATCCTTTATATTAAGTTCACTTGCTTGCTTGCGTGCTTGCTTGCTTGCTTATGACCGTGCAAATCTTTTGGTCGTTTTTTAACCCACTTCCCGTGATCCAATCGAGCTGACATTTTGCACACAGACTCGTTGTGCGTGACATTTAATTTTCGTGAAATTTTTTTCCAAAATTTTACACTGTTTAGGGAAAAAATAATATTTAATTACCAATTGCTTAATGGTAGCAGACAATCATCTGACCTATAGGTGGCAGCCATCTCAAGCCAGAGGACGAGAGGACTCGAGCCGCCCGTTTCATGATGACGCAAATGTTGACTAACCACATGGCATGAAATCCCTGCCCCTACGCTGTATAGTGGAGACTATTTATAGAGCAGTTAAATTAAAGCCGCCAGGTTCTTGAAAGTGGTAAAACGGGTCAAGCCTCGGGAATATACGGGGCATGTCAAGAGGTGATCTTACATTTTAAAATCCTTTATATTAAGTTAACTTGCTTGCTTACTCAAGAAAAACAGAAATTAATAATAAAATTAAACCGATGCCACGCATATAAAGGATTTATAGTGAAAAACGTGCTGTGTGTGTGTACACGTGTTGTGTGTGTGTACACATGTTCTGTGTGTACACGTGTTCTGTGTGTGTGTACACGTGTTGTGTGTGTGTACACGTGTTGTGTGTGTGTGTACACGTGCTGTGTGTGTGTACACATGTTCTGTGTGTGTACACGTGTTGTGTGTGTACACGTGTTCTGTTTCGTTTGCTCAATATAACAGTCACCACAAATGCAACTCAGTTTGTAGACACCAGGGTACTGCAAGTCAGGAATGACATCCTTTACGGATGGGATCAGACATGTATCTGACCGCATTCATGAGCACAAGTCTGATTTGAAACACGGTAGGACGAATTCTTCTGCCGTGGCTGACCATTGCTATAACGCGGTGGGCTCCCATGATATTGTATTCTCCGATACCAAAGTGCTCTGCAAGCCGTCTGGATACCACCAAAGATTTGTCCATGAAGCCATCCAGATATACAAACATAGACTTAACTTCAACCGAGAGGATGGATTAAAATTGAGCAATCATAGGAAGGATGTTATTAACCAAGTTAAACCTTAGCTGCCCTGTAGTTTATATTCATATCCACGTCTCCAGGCTTTTACTCCCAGCCTTGCACACGACCATCACGAGGACATTTGACGCGCAGTGTTTCAATCGTGCAGTCCCTGCCCACACACCCACGTCGTTTCCCCCCCACCCACCCTCCTCAGCTATATAAACCCTTGTCAAAGCCATCTCTTTGACATAATTCAGCAACTGTAGCTTGCTGTGGTTGTCCACACCTGATGACGGACGCTGGTGTTGCGCCCGAAACGTCGTAATTTAATTTATTTCTATTTTTTTTCACCTACGTGACTTTACCGAAATAACCAAAGAGTAACAATAGTGAGTAGTCCGTCACACGCCAGACTCGTGTTATAGTGAGTAAAAACTTAATTTGGAACTTTCGTGACTATCTCTCTCTATGTATATCTGTGATATCTGTCTGCTTATATGTCTGTCTATATGTCTCTGGTTCTGTGTTTTATCTCTCTCTCAAATGTAGCATTCTCAGGAAGAACGTAATCAACCAGGTAGGGTGTTGACTGTTATGTTATCCGACTCTCTGTTGTATTACATTA